TAGCTCCAAGTCGAGGGGGGAGAATGATCGATGAACAGTAGCTCCAAGTCGAGGGGGGAGAATGATCGATGAACAATAGCTTCAAGTCGAGGGGGGAGAGAGTGATCACTCAACAATAGGTCAAAGTCGATGTATTATTATAGATATTGTATTTTATCGCGTCTCTCCTTGACTTGGAGCCATTGTTTCGTGGTCAATATAAGCAAATTCGGTAAAGATACCATGAAAGGACAAAACAAAAAAAAAAAGCAACAGAAAWAATTAATACCAATAGTTTATTAGTATAATGGCATGTACCTCCCCATTTTGTTTGTGCCCATAAATTAAGTGTCTCGATTATATTCTATCATTTATGAATTCTTATTTCCAGAGCCCGCGTTCATTTATCTTGGTGTCCGTCAAGAAAGAGCCTTCGACAAATCCAGATCCTTTGGTTTTATTGGCTCCTTTGAATATCTTTCTATTAGCCAATAGGAAAACAGACCTTGGCAGTTGGAATTGGCCTTGGGCGCTTCGTTTCTGCTGGCCAATAGGAACGCGGACTCAGAGGAGTATGTTATGAATCACGTTATGTACAAATAAGTGTAAAACCAACCAAACATCAACATTATGTAGCCAGCGGTATATATCAGAGAGGTCGCGTTTCATTGGCTTAGAACCGTTGCGTCATATTATACACAACAACGTTGCCTCCGAAATGTTACCCTTAAGACTTAACTGGTCCACACTAGCTGTGCTTGTAATGACTTCCATGTTCTTCCATGACCTCACAACTACACAAGAACTTTCCGTAAAACACTGTTTCATTTTATTTTAGCGCGCGCGTCTGTGTGCTTTATACCAAACACGCAAGGAGCTGTAGAGCAAGGTTAGAAACACAAGGCGTAATCGATATTTCTCTTCCTTCCTCTTTGGGAGCTCCAGAGTGTTTATATACTTCAGCACAAAGGCACAAATTGACGTAATATATTGATTTGATAAAAGATTCAGTTTTCGATGATTTTGCGCGAGCTTGTATCTTGCCAGCAAGCCAATCAGCGGGCGCGTTGTATCTTAGATATTTTATAAATTAATAAATAGTAAGAGTTTCGGATTGGCGTCTCTTCAAAGATCGAAGATAAGAATCCACTCCAACAGAGCAAAATTTCATTGCGTTTGAATTTCCTTCGAGTATGTGCTGAAGTTTCCACAAAACGCGGGCTTGAGCTTAGGATCGTTGATAATAACTTAGATTCAATTACTGCAGTACTCGAATACATGTTGCAAAAACTATTCCAGTGACTTGTTAAAGAATAGAGTCCTATCTGACCGGAGAAGCGTACAATAAAAAGTGCGCTCGCCGTGGCTTTTAAGATACGCGCACACTCAGCAGAAAAACCACGGCTGCAGCGCTAAACCGCGCTGTTTTTGTATTAGCGACAGAGGTCCATTTATTCTTCACCTCGTTGTAACATTCAACAGTGTTCACAATCGACATGTATTCATTCATCCCATTCACAACATAAATCTTGCCGCAGTGAACAGCAACGGAGACTCCCCCGCGACACTGCTTGAGAGACGCCACTTGCGACCATTGTTTATTGAGTGGATCGTAACGTTCAACAGTATTTAGAGATCCCTTGCGGCCATTCGCGCCACCGACAGCGTACAGGAACCCGCTTAGCGCGACTGCGCCAAAGTCATATCTACAACTCAACATTTCAGTATCTTCATACCAGGAATTGGTGTCTGGTTTATAATGTTCCACGTGACTCAAGTCCCCAGTTGTGTCATCGAAGCCTCCTACAGCGTACATACAAGAGTTGAGGACTGCTAGAGCGAACCGACGACGCTGGCGATGCATCGTAGATACAGTTTCCCATTTACCGGTGGCGGGTGAGTAACGTTCAACATAACTAAAAAAATAAATGTCACAAAATATCAAACAGTTTTCCTGGCAAACAAACAAACTTGTTTGTTTAATTAACTGGARTGAAATTTTGTCATTCTCCATTATTTTCCCGAAGAAGAGGGAAAGGCTCTAAAGTTGGATGAATTAATGCCAAAAAACGTAGATGAAACACAAGTTCTTGTTAGATATGAAGCTAGTCCCCCACGCAACCGTTCATCATGTCATCACGCAACGCTTCCTCCCCAATGTGGGAGCGTCGCGTGAGGACTAAGAACGGCTGCGCGGGAGACTCTAATATTAACCCTACGTACAATATATTAGGCTTAAGTTTGATTTTATTGATTAATGGAGTTGCGGTTCAACTAAGATCGATGATGACATGTACACCTTTGACATCCCAACAACGAAAACTACTGACTGACATAATGTACTGACGCTCATCACTACAGATAAAATTTAGTCCACCTTCATTAATAAACAAGTACTAGTCGGCGCATATCATTGCTTCCTTTCCATTTCAATAATACACGAATAAAACTGTGATAAATTATCTTCCATTGAATCATAGGAGAATCAAGGCTGGAATCAAGGGTAGTGTAGCGGTAGTACACTCAACTCTCGCCTCTGGGGTCTCGGGTTTGATTCCTGGACTCGACAGAACATATGAGTAGAGTTTGTTAGGGCTACCTTGTTTCGGTGGTTTTTCTTCGCATTCCCCAATTTTTATCCCTCCGCAAAACCTTATAAGCTAAATTCCAATTCGATCTATGAGTTAGTCATGCCCTGACTTTGATCAGTCCAGAGGTTGTTTCAGGGTAGCGATAAATTTGTATGGCTGTGAAAGGGCACGGCACGGCATCGCCACGGTACTGAATTAACAACATCTCTGCTAGTGAACCAATCACGGCGCGCAAGATTATTGCTTAGCCAGTGAAAATGCTTAAACACAGTGCCATCTCGGCACGTGCGCACCGTACGTTTTTCACTCAATACTCACTTGCACGTTAGAAGTCTGTCACTGGAACCCCCTGCCACATAGATGTAGTCTCCCAGAACAGCAGCTCGCATATCACCTTGACATTTTGTGGTGGACGCTAGCTGCGTCCATGAATTGTCCACAGGATCGAAGCATTCCATTAATTTCAACTTCCGTCCGCGGCGATACCCACCAATAACGTACAACTTGTTCTGGAAGGCCACAACAGCAAACGATGCCCTGGCCTCTGACATGGCTTTACATGTCTCCCATTCGCTTTTCTCTGTGTTGAACCGTTCGACTGATTTCTCCTCTTTCATAAATGCCGTTTCTCCTCCCAGAACGTAAAGCGCTTCGGCGTACGAGTTCCTCATTCGGATTCCCGCGCGTTCACAATGGTGCGTCTCCGCTTCTTCCACGATATCTTGACTGTAAACATTTGTAGAAACCAACGGATGCTCGGCAATTTCTTCATGAAGATATTTCAAAGGCACAAACGCTAAACGCACCGCTTTCAACAGCTCCGGCATGTGCTGCCTTCTAGACTCAATATTATAATGCACCCACGTGACACATGCATTGAATACCTGCTTCTCATTGGTTACTTGGATGTCATCTCTGGACAGCAGATCCACTACCTGAGACGGGCTGAGATTCTTGAAGTCTTCCGTCTCGACAACCTCAATGAAGTGATTCGTAATGCAGTAGTTGGCAGCTTCTTTGAGTACTTTCAGTCCATGACGCTCAGCCAGCGCGAGAATTCGAAGACAATTCGATACCTCGATCTGCCGCATAATAAAATCAATACATGCATCTTTGGCTGACTTGAATTCCAGTCTATCGGATGCTATGAATAAGTTCTGCACATTGGCATCGGTTATGGTAAGCTTTGAAGTGTAAGCAAAGTTGATTAGGATTTCTGTGGCGTCTGGATCAACTTCTTTGATTTCGACCTACAACGATCAGAGATACAAAATCAATCATACAAAATTTATTCTATTTTCGGGTTCTCGACCGGCTGAGGACCTCTCCTTCCCCTTTTCCCTTTCTATCCCCCCTCGGTCGAGCTTTGGTTTCGATATACGCATAAAAGCTACTAAGTTAGTAATCCTACTTTTGATTGATAACATCGAAAAATAAATACAACTAGGGACTTAGAAGCCAGAGGGCGCATCTAACTTACTATGCGCACTGCATAGGAACTTAGTTCTAGGAAAATCTTAACATAAATTTAAAAATACTTTTTCCTATTACAAATCATCCTTTTTCCTAAAACTCAGCAATGCGCAAAATGTCCTACGGCTTTTTCGCTTTTTTGGGACATAAAAGAATTAAAACTGACGTCAAAAATGGTATAATTAACTGCGAATAAGATAAAAACAACAACAACATTGACGAACAAGGGTCTTGATTCAAAACATAATGAAATCCGTGTGCGCAAATGAAATCCTTAAAAATAAAACAATCGCTAAACAAGGTTATAAAAGCTTCAACGATCTAAGTACTTTTTAAAAAACGTTTATAGATCACGTTACTTACATTTTTCTTGGATTAATCATCTTAATAAATCATTTTGTAATGTTCGTGTACATGTTTGCTTGAGCATTAAAGACGAAACATTGATGTCTGTTTAGATTCATTCATTATTGATTATCAACTCCTGAACTCTGTGGGCTTACGAAATAAAGACCATTCGTGTTTTCAGCGGTGGATAAGAATGAGAGAGAGACAAAATTCGACACCTTAAAGGCTTAAATATATTGGGGGAAAATTGGTGCAAATTTCTTCTCGGTTTTCACAATAGGTCGAAAATAGACATGACAACTATAGAAAATTCTACGACTTTACAGTCCAATATACATAAAACTTACACACTAAAATTAATTAAGTTATATTCAAAATATAGATTGAATTGCTTCAGTCGGAGAGATGGATTATACCAATATGCTAATTTAAAAAAAATTTCCTAAGCGCAGGCTGTACAATAAATGATGAGACAGACATTTCGTTTTTCTTTATTTTCGAATAAAAGAAAAAATGCCAAAAACGGCTATAGAGAGAAGTTGCCTTACATATCTTTGTATAACTAAATTACTGGGGGGGGGGGGGAACGGTCATTTAAATGTTAAAAAAACAGTTATGTTCTGCTGCATGCAGGCTACCAAATTCAGAAACATCTATATTGCCAAATGCAACAATGGCTGCCAGTTCATTATCATTAATTTTTGAATTAATATTTTAATTAAGCACTACATTAAAGTTATAGAAAGTTTGAGGTAGAAATTTCAAATTCTTTAGAAGTTATGAGAAATGTAAATTTTAGAATACAAATTTCTTGTGCGCTGATTGGTTATTTTTCATCATCAATAACAGGACTGACAGATAAAGCTGACGTCAACAAGCACGCATTTACAGACTCATTTACTCAGGGTTAGCCTCATTTCAGTGTCTAAATATTCCCAAATACCAACAGTGAAGTAAAGAATTCATATTTCTGCTTGCTATTTCTGATAATGTGGTGCTTATTTTTAAACATTAGTTTATTTTTATTTCTGGAAGAAATAATTCGTCTATACTGAATAAGGTAATTTATATGGTTTTACTAGTATAGAAGCCCTATTAGGCGGTACCAATGTCCTCTGTAGCCTGAATTTCACAACTGCCTATGTCACAATTTTTGAACGTCCTCAGGGCCTCACTTTCAGTAATTTATTCTGTCTGTTGTTTGTTAGCTTGTGGCTCTCATGTTGCTATTTCACGCCATGCCTTGTGTCGGAATTACCCCCCGGGGTACTCCACCAGAATTTGGGTAGGGGTGTTCCGCTGGGATTCTGAAAGGGGTACCCAGCTGTTTATGATAAAAAAACCTCAAATTTGTGGACCCTGTTTATATGACAAAAGATATAATTTATTGCACTGAGTTCCTGTTTCAATTATCATGTCATCTCGCGTATCGTTTTTTTACGACCATAATAACCAGTTTCGGTCAATACGAAAGTAGAATCCCTGAATATGACAGGAAACTCAGGAAGAACTTGGAACTTGAGTGAAATCGCATACCCTGTTTATCATTGATAAGAAGCTCAAAAAACCATACCCTGTTCAGCGGATCATCCCCGTATAGTCCATATATGGGAGTACCCCCCCCCCCCCAGAATTACCTCTAACAGGGCCTAATTATTTATTCATCTATTTAGTTTTTCCCATAAGGGCAGGGACACCTCAATAACATAGCCACTTACTGTGGACCCAGTAGTGTTAGCACAGGCACTAAACATGGTTATCACCAGCATCTTCAGTGGGTCTTTTATGTCACCATTATACAGGGTTACAGTGAAGACAGAGGATAACTATGGAATTAGGTCCTTATCCAAGAAGCTATAAATAGTTATATAGCTAGCTAGGGGGTCCATATTTAGAAACCTTTGCCCGAGGAAAGGCAAAGAGGGCAAAGATTTTTTCAGTACATACCAATCAAAGCCAGTACATAAATGTAAGATTTGTTTCCAATTATAAAATGGGGGATATTAAATATCCCTCATAATATTCCTACCAAAGACTTAAGAGTGGAAGGGTGGAATATTCGACTGCATTCAATTACTTTTGACCCTAAATGATCATTACCAAAATTATAGTGTTTACGATTAGAAAAATAAGACGAAAACTAAAAACCTTTAAAAAATGCCTTAAATGTTTTAATGAATGTTGTGTCTAGATAAAGAAATTAATCAAGTTCGTATTTTGTTGAGTTTTCCTGTATAAATAGAAATCTACGATGAGTAAATATGTATACTCATTGGTAAGATAAACTAAGATTTTTTCTTCGATTTCTAATATTTCTTTTTTAAGAAATGCCCGTAAAATCTTAGCGGGCATAGAATAAAGATTAATGGCTTCTATCTGACGGTAACTTTACAGTCCTCATGTTAAGTTATGTTATGTATCGACATGTTTAAACATTTTTCCAAAATGTTAAATTGCAGCACGATCGATATTTAGGTTAAAAATGTAAAACATTTTTGCATTTTATCGCTTTCAGTGTGAAGCCAAAGAATAATGTTAAGAACTGGCTCAAATCTTAATCAGAAGTGATCATCTTGTCTAGTTGCCTACTTACAGTTTTCATATTTTTTTCGCTCATCGGGCTGGTAAACAAAGCATTGAAGTACCGACTTGTAGCTGCTAAAACAGCGCGATGGACGACGATATCTCTTCCCTCCACCACAAGAGTAACATCACATAACTCTTTGCGGTCTCTAAGCTCTTGCAGTCTCGACAGAAGGCTTCGAGCGTGAAGGTTGTCCACAAAATATTGCAAGACACCATCGTCGGTATACTCCATGTTTACAAGCAAGTTATCACCTGTGCTGGTCAGTTGACAGCATCGCGGGCCATTTCTCCCCTTGTCATAAAACTCTTTATACGGGAGGGGTGGGTAGTGAAGCTGTGTTTGAAGCCCTTTTATATTTAGATTTCCTACACACAAAAATTTCGAAGAGCAAAAATGAGAATTATAAAAATAAAAGTAACTATGTAACAGAGACGAAACAGAATACATAAAAATTTTTAAAAAATAATATCAGCTATAAAGTTTTATAGAAATCGTTATATTTAAAAAAAAGTATGACAACAAGAGAAAATGAGAAAATTAAACTCCGTGTAGGGATTTTAAATGAGTACAGTATATTCAATATTAACAAAATTTTAATTTTGAAACAGCCTTTCTTATCGTTATTCAGCTCATTAGGCTTTTTTGGTACGTTAACTAGACCTTTACATTAAATCATATCATTCGCTTTTTATAAGCTGTTGTGTATTTATTATAGATATTAGGGTGATGTATAGTAAAATTATATTTCATAGACCCCACCCTCCCCACCCTTGTGATAAGGTTAATTAGTAGCTCCCACAAGTCTCTGTGGTCACAGTATGAATGACGTCACATCTTAAACGAAAGCGTCAAAAACGCAGAGAACATTCGCTATTAAACCATCGATTTTTCGCCGTATATTTATTGATTTTTGCTCTTAATTTAAAATAGTAGTGTTGTTGATGTATTAGAGACCATGGGAGCAGCATTAGGAGCCTTAGGAGGACTTGCAAGTTGTGCTTCTTGTGCTTCTTGTTTGAGCAGCCTCGCTCCAGTTGTGAGTATCTTCGCCATGATTTTTCAATCAACTTTATTTTCAATCTGTCTTATTTTGCGACTTCCTTAAAGCTAAAAAACAAATTTTTAACATTCTATTGATCACTTTTTATTCCTGTATTATGAGATATAGATTTTGTACCTACGATTATTTAAAATACGATATCATTGGCGCTTCACACGGAAGAAAGCATGAGAGCTAGATATTTAAATTTACTTATACATGGGATTTTTCAAGTTTTTTTTCCACAAATACTGTAGATCTACCTATTATATAATTCATTATTGTTAATTCAAAAATTTTGACTTCTTATTATGCTTTTCTTTTACTTTAAAGCTAAAGATAAACGATAAAAAGGAGCTTGTGTAATTTTAAACATCAAGCTTTTGAGAAATTATGAAATAAAATATTTTTGTATAAAAAAAGTGAAAATTCGAATTAAACAGTTTTCATTTCTCTTTATGCCTTAAGCTTTTTATTTTATTTTGCTTTAAAAATCGATAAATTCCATGCCTTGTTTATTGTTGCCTAATAGTCACTATTACTCAACCAGAACATTTATTAAACAAAAGATTTTGTCTTTGTATGATGAATGTTCTGGTTGACTGATAGCAACTATTAGTCACTAAATAGATACTATTAGGCCTAGGGCAAACGTCGAACTTTCCATGCACCGAACTCATTAAAAACAATGGATATCAGGTGATAATGAGGCGGCATTCTTTGATGTAATTAAGTTCGGTGCATGGAAAGTTCAACGTTTGCCCTAGGCCTTAGTTTTTATTTAGTTTGATTTTATTTCCCGGTTTAATTGCATCCACTCTATGACCATAAAAAAGTTTATGATATATTATTTTGGTTTTATTTTCAGGCTGCATGTTGCTGTGGTTCCTCGGCATGCTTCTGCTGTTGTGCCCGTTGCCCGTCTTGCAGGAATTCTACAGCCAGCAGGATTGTTTACACCATTTTTCTCTTCCTTGGCACTTTGGTATCAGCCATTATGTTGGCTCCAGGGATAAGGGACAAGCTTGACAAAATACCACATTTTTGTAATAACAAATACCTCCACACCAATGAAGATGTGTGTAACAGCATGGTGGGGTATTTGGCTGTGTATAGGGTGTGCTTTGGGATGGCTGCCTTCTTCTTCCTTATGGCTGTTATCATGTTCAAAGTGTCATCTAGCAGGGATCCCAGAGCAAAATTCCAGAATGGGTAAGAGACACCATACTATTAAATGTACAGTAACTCTGTGGGCATCACAAGTCTGTATACACCTATGTGGTCTGGTGTCAAACTGTATGAACAGTACAATGCATCATTGACAAAATATATAAGTAAATTTACCCAAGAAAATGACATGCTGCCTAAAATGGAAAAACAGCAACAAGCTCTACTAATGAATGCATTATCAATAAAATGTGACAAAATATTTTTTATTTTATTTTAGATTCTGGTTTGTAAAGTTGGCACTTCTCATTGGGCTCATGGTTGCTGCATTTTTCATTCCAAGGGGTGACTTTGGACAATGTAAGAATATTCCCTATTCTACCATAAAATTACTGTACTCATATACAACACTGAACCTAGTTCGAGTCCCGCCGGGTTCAGTGTTGTATATGAGTAGAGTTGTTTGTTGGTTCTCTCCTGTGCTTCGAGGGTTTTCCGGGTTCTCTGGTTTTCCTCCCTCTGCAAAAATCAACTCCTAAATTCCAATTTGATCACAGAATGAGGGCCACAGGTTTGTTAGCCACTGGCTATTAAGTGCTACCCTCGTGAAAAAAGGACAATTTAAAAAAATGATATCTATGCTTTATTTCCTTGTTTGTTTGTTTGTTTTGATCCTTTTCCCCCCCAATGTTTCAGACTGGATGTATTTTGGTATGATTGGTGGATACCTTTTCATCATTCTACAACTGATTCTGCTGATTGACTTTGCCTATAGTTGGAGTGAGTCTTGGTAAGTTAATGGCATCCTTCAGGTTATCATATTCATTATTATAAACAACTCACTCATTCGAATATGATGTAATTTTTGTTTTCTCCTCCAAGGGTTGAAAGATATGAAACAACAGGAAACAAGAGGTGGTACTGGGGTATGTTACTACCTAATTTAAAAAAGTTTCCATCTTTTAGGGCTTAAAACAACTGCAGGTCATCAGACATTGTCTGGCCAGATTTGGAACTTGTCCGGTCAAATCTTTGCCTTACGGTCATCATGAACAATAATAATGAGCCCTAAACAAAGGTATGACTGAGGTAATTGGCCAGTCATCAAGACCAGCAACCAATGGGCCATTATTTTAAGCCCTGTCTTTGAAATTTGAAGTGACATTTACGTTATATGTTAACTATAACTTTGGTTACAAGATCTTAATGGCCCAGGGAGTGTTTAGACATAAGAATTTACTGAATGAAAAAATTGGAGTCTTGGAAATTAAGCAGTTTATTCCTAGTTGTTGTTTCTAGTATGGACATGTGATGCAGCTGATGCTGAAGTATTAATACTCTTTGTTAATATTGAATTTTAGGTCTGGTGATAGTAACAAGTGGAATGTACATTATCTCTGTTGGTGCTATTGTTTGTTACTTCTACTTCTACACCACGGTACAGTAAAAACACATACTGCAGTTTACAATATTCTGCAAATTCAGTAGTTGCAAGCTGCCAATGGAATTTGGTTTTTCGCTGCTGCAATTAAAAATCATCAGTCTGTACCTTTTATATTCTTGACTGGCGGCAGTGAAAAACCAATTTCACAACAAGCCATTGAAATGTTTGAGTTTGCTGAATATCAATACCTGCAGTAAACACTTATTTAAAAAATCTTTTGTGACAGTATACTTGTTTCATGACACTGTTGAGTTAGTCATTTAATGATCACTGCAGACTGTGTGCAATATGTCCAAACATCCACAGGAAAAAAAACCGGATTCCAAAATTGGGAATTTCCTTGAATTCCCAAGTAATTCCCATCCAATTCGCAGAGAGAACGAAATTGGGAGTGTGGCACTGATTCCCAATGTTAGTTTGTTGGGAATTTTGTTTTTCTATTGGGTATTAGAAGGAAATTCCCAACAATAAATCCCAATGTTGGTGTTCAAATCCAGGTTTTTTCCTGTGACAATTATTATTCTGATTAAAGCTTCATATTTCTGTTGTTTTCCCCCTGGCCACAACACAAAACTATTTATATTTTTTCTCAGTCTGACCTCTCAGTCTGACCTCTAGCTCAGCTGGTAGAGCATCAGTAGTACAATTCCGAAGGTCGTGGGTTCGATTCCCAGCAAGGTCGGAAATTAATTTTTCCGAATTCAATTCCAAGGGCTTTCGCCCGGAATAACCTCGTTTCCAAGCACTATAACTTATCTATATTTCTATATCTTCATGTATTTCATAAGTGCTACCTGGTCCATATATTCTCAACAAAACTATTTATATTTTTTCTATTTCTCTCTTACTACTCAACCCACCTATGCTTAGGATTTCTGGTGAAGAAAATATTCCAGATAGCAGCTGTCTGGTGACATTTTTCATGTTCACATACTACATACATGTAACTTCATTTAACCCTATCACCTACACTGTAATATTCTTCACAGATTCATCTTAGGGGAGCACTATCCAAACTAGGAGCTTTAGTAATAAGTTTTTTTTTTTTCCAGACTGACGGCTGCAAGAACAACAAATTTTTCATCAGTTTCAACCTATGCCTGTGTCTTGTTGTATCCGTCATTGCTGTTATACCAAAAGTACAGGAAGGTACATAAAACTATTACATAATAATAATGATGGTGATGACACTGATGATGATGATGATGAGGGTGATAGTGATAGTGATGAGGATGATGAAAGTGAGGGTGATGGCAGGTGATGATTTGGGTAAGGTTGATGGTGATGGTCATGGTGATGTAAAAGAAATAAGCTAAATCTCATAACATACAAAATACAGAATTAAATAAGCTAAACATTTTGTTAAAATATTACACTTTGAACCCCCTCTAGACACTTAAACTGTACGTTGATTACACTCTTTACACTGTACTTTCTGTGGCAAAATCTTCTAATTATCTGTACATATATTATTTGTGTTACCAGCCCAACCATCCTCTGGATTACTTCAGGCAGGATTGATAACCTTGTATACTATGTATCTGACATGGTCTGCTATGTCTAATGAGCCAGGTGAGTGAACATTCATTGCTCAACTTAACAGCGTAAATCCATGGTTCTGGTCTGCGAATCAAACGTCATTAGCAACATTTCAAGATTCTTTCCAGTTTTCATCAATTGATTAAAAATTAGCTGGTTTTGAGGGAGCTACTGTACAGGGATTTTTTCTTGGCATTTTCAAGTAACTAAAAGCTTGAGTAAAATGAACCATATGCTCTAAATAGACCTCTCTACTGTACCTTGGGCATAATGTTTTCCCAGATCATACCCAATTCATTCTCTTGAGAATAAATTTCTTTGTTAAAGTTGTATCCATATCCATGTTTCTTCTAAACCGTTAAACAAAGAAATGATACTCTAGAGAATATGGTCTGAAATGGGAAAACATTATGCCCAAGGTACAGTAAAGAGGTCTACTGTGAGAGTGAACACGGTATGGTTCATTTTATTCAAGCTTTTAGTCATAAACAAAACAAAAAAGACTCACAACTTCCATGTCAGCTTCTACGTTTTGTTGCAATGAAAGGTACATCTGATCTTTTTTATTACCCTAGATGAATTGTGCAATCCAAGTGGGCATCTTTTCACAGAAGAAGGAGAGCATCCTATTCCAACAATGAGTGGACACACAGTTATTGCTGCTCTCTTGATGTTTGTGATGGTTGTGTACTCTTGGTTAGTTCAATACTTTTATCACCTAATAACTATCTAGTTATTTAATATAATTATCTATATCTAGTGAAAGCATAACGCTGGTGCACTATAATTTATAATGGTAATTGAACTGAGTGGAGTGCAATTTGGTTTGAAATCAAACGCGCGATTACAAAATCGCACGACCGCGTAGCGGGAGTGCGATTTGTAATTGCAAGTTTGATTTCAGACCAAAATTGCACGACACGAAGTTCAATTACCACTTTATCATATCCATTTTGAAATCTTTTTTGAAAAAGACGTTTTTTCCAGTTAAGCCGACATGACTTACAATCTAAAAGCAGTCGATTCAAACATGCTGTCAAGAGAACTTGTTTATACTGATCGAGCAATGATTCTCATTTTGAAAACCAACACTTTCAATCCAAAACTAAAATGAATTTATATCGGACCAAACGGTTTACAAATTAAGAAACATTTACTTACTTTAAATAGCAAGACAATCCTGCCCAAAAGGGTTGTAATGAACTGGCTGTTGTCCATACAGCCAATGCTCACTGCTTGTATTTTTACGATTTCTGTTCAACATGTTTAGATCACACTTGTGCCGACAAAACAGCAAAAATCAAAGGTTGTTTAGTCCTTCGGTTGTCCTTAAGAAGTCACGTAGCTCAGCAAAAATCTTCTTCTTAAGAAAAACTTCTTTTAATGACTGTATTTTCGATGTGTTGTTATGCTTTAAAGATTGAAAAGGAAACCACAATCAATCGCCAAGAAGTCACATTCAAAAGATGCCGATTGCATTTTCTCCCACTGCTTTTCGCTGTAATATCTTCAACTTACTTAAGCAGTTACTTTACAAAGATGCTTTTGATGATTTTAAGTGATCAGTTGGTCTTTTTAAGTCCTTTTTACGGCTTTTTAAGTCTTTTTTAAAGACTTTTGACGGTAAAATTGTTCTTCAGAAGATTTTTTTTTGAGCCGTGGCTCTTTTTTTTCGCAAGAAGCGGTGAGCTCAACACTCAGATGGATTCCTTGATATAATTGGCTAGAAAATGACAGGCCTCTCTTGTGATTGGTTCATATCAGTTGATGTGCAAAATCGTGCAATTTAGAGCTCAAAATCGTGCAATTTAGAGCTCAAAATCGTGCAATTTATGCTGAAATCACTGCTGCAGGGAACCAATCAGATTGCAGGATTTGCTTGTGATTTCAAAATGGATGTAATAAAGTGTGTAACAAATCAAATCAATGTTGTGTTGACACTCTTAAGATAAACGAGTTCCCAGCAACTACCAACTTGCATTAACCACACCAACAACATGCAGTATACTGATACTTATTTTAGGGTTCTAATGAATTGTTTACTGTTACCTATCAGAAGATTGCTCTCTCCTTTGTACAGTAGAGCCATTTTAAGATCATCTTGGGTGATAGGCTAACATGAAAATACGAAAGGAAATTGCACAAAATTCATTGAGAAAAGAGTGATTTCTTTCATCTCCCTGTTAGCCTCCATCGTTATTCTTGATAGGGGTTTATCATCTCGTGCTGTGCATATATTAATCATTTTTTGTTTTTGTTTTGTTTATTAGTGTAAGGACAAGCAGTTCTTCTCAAATTGGAAGTATTGGCCTTCGCTCAAGCAGCCACATGGAGGTAAAGATCTTTAAGAACCAATAAACTAAATCTATATGACTTTAAATACTGTGAGTGTTGAATGCTGATGTTGCTTTACTGTTAGACACACCGTTAGACCTTCCGAGAATTAGGTTGCAATTTGCAGAAGCACATAAAAATTAGAATTCTAACAGTTATTTTGGATATAATTGACAAAATAGAAAGTGTGTCTGCATGCTGTGTGCTTCATAAAGCAAGTGCTCCCATCCAAGCAGAATGCGAGATTCATAACTGGTATTTTATAAAATAATACTAATAATCCTCTTCTGTACATTTAAGGAGACTCTTCTTCCTGACTGCAATCAAGGTAAGTCAGACAATAAGCCCTGAATGAAGAGAACGTCTTTTTTATGCTGCAGGTTTAGATGACAAAAGGGATTCTTGGTAGCAATGTTGTAGAGCAGAAATGGTGCAGTGTTAATGGATTAAGAAGACTGGAAAGTGTTTCCTGCCTTCACATACACTCACAATAATGACCAAAAAATTAATCATATGGCTATAATATGACAACAAATAAACCTGGAAAGCCAAAGACCATTAACCTAAGGTCACGATGAACATGAAAAAATGACATAAGACATTACTATGATAAGATCAGAACCCTTCTTATGCCATCAAAAATGTTTAATAAAAAAAAAAAAATTGGGAACAAAAAAGTGATTTTTTTTAGAACTTTATTCGAACTTTGTAGCATAATTTTTGATGGAAAAGAATCTTGTAAGAGGGAAGTTTTAAAAATCAATCAAATTTGTTTTGAATAGTTTCCTCTTACAGAATTTTTTAAATTTTTCCTTAACTTTTCAGAACCATAAACCAAAGCCATATGCAAAATTTGACCAAGCTTAGGATAAAAAAAATATTTCAAGCTGCTTAAATAAAAAGTACCTTATGATTATTTCATTCAATGATAGATGCTGAAACAGGTGAGAGTGAAGAAGACAAGCCAAAGCACCAGAAAGTGTATGATGATGAAGCTATTACTGTTACATATAACTACTCCTTCTTCCACTTCACCTTCTTCTTGGCATCTCTGTACATTATGATGACACTCACCAACTGGTACAGGTAAGATTGACGTACATGTATGCATACTTTGGACTTGCTGTGACTTTGATGTTGCCATGTTCTAGTGTTACGATTGGATGGATATTGATCACATGTTAAGGCTGGTACTCACTGGCAATATGAGCAGGATCAAAACATTCTGTTCTTCTTATGCTTGTGCTTGTGCTTATGCTGCTGAATTTCCCAGTGAGATCATTAAGGTCTTATGCCTATGCTTTTGCTTATGTGCTAGTGAGAACCACACTTTATAATTTGTATGATATCCACTGCATGTCTATTCCATGGACTTAAGAAGGGAGGGTTAGGAGGATTTTAGTCCTCATAGTACTTTGGCATTACAACAGTAATTGTCAAAATCAGGGCTGTAGGCCCTTCGATCAGAATCAGGGCAATAGCTCCCCTCCTCCACCCCCCTGCTCAGTGGTCTCATTACTTTTTGCGTGAAGCATGGAGATGTGTTCAACCTTTGGGTGTGAGCCAGGGGAGCTCTAAAGAAAATCCCTTAAACAGTATTATTAAAGTATTTTTTCTGTTCACAGTCCCCAGGGCACAGACTTCAACAAATTGACGAGCAGCTGGGCCACTGTGTGGGTCAAGATGAGTTCCAGTTGGGTGTGTCTTGGACTGTATGCATGGACCCTGCTTGCTCCTGTCATGTTCCCTGATCGAGATTTTGGGCACTAAATATTACTGGGGATGAGAAGCATGCCTGTCTCACTTCTTTTGAATATGCACATGCTACCAGGGCACTCTTAGCTTCATTAGATATTATGTCAGCTTAATATGCCATAATATTTAAAGTTAACTCACTGTATATAGAAGTAGTAATCTAAAAGGTAAAAACTGTGTATGTAGTAATGGATCAATGTCGGTTTTATATTTTATTTGTTTCGTTTTGTTTTATTAATTTTGTTGTTGTTTTGTTTTGTTTGGTATTGTTTTGTGTGACTGTTTTGTTGTTGTATATATAATAGACGTAGCAATAAATTAAAATAAAGATTCTCCACAATTTTAATTACATCCTACAGTGTTTCTTTCTTTCTTGTTTACTCATTGGATACAACACCTTGATGCAGTCCAAACTAGTTCACCTGCCTCTCACCTCTGGGTTCGGTTCCCAGGGTCGACATTGTATATTATGTGTAGTACAGTTTATTAGGTCTTCTCTTGATTCAAGGATTTCTCTCTGAGTTCTCTGGCTTTTCTCCCCCCCACAAAACCTAACCAGCTAAATCCCAATTTGATCTGTTAGCCATGACCTGGTCTAAATCAGCCTAGAGGCTGTTTGAGGCCTCTATAAAATTTGAAGGTTTTTATCTTAAAAGGTTGAAACCCATTTTTTTAACTCAGTTTTCAAAAAACCATGCAAGGCCACTGCAATTTAGATTGTTTAATAGAGTGTAAACAATATATCCTTGAAATATTAGTAATACTGACTTACACTATTTTATGCTGAATTTCTTTTTCATGTTTTTTTTTTCAATTTCTCTCTATGTCTGTTTTTTTTTCTTTCTTTCTTTCTTTCTTAGTCAATTCTTTCTTTCTTTTTTTTTTTTTTTTCATTCGTTTGTTACTTTTTTCCTTCCTTCTCACCCCCCATCTTGTTTTTCTTTCTGCCTTCGTTCTCCTCCCTTTCTTCCTTTTTTTCTTCCTTGCTTCCTTATTTCCTTCCTTGCTTTCTATCCGTCTGTCTGTCTTACACGTCCTTGATTTGTGTGACCAGCGGTATGTGCTGGTTGAGCAGGTGCATTTACTACCTCTGTTATTCCAAGATGGCGTCCAAGAGAAGACTAGATGGTGGAGATGCTTCTATGGCAATAGTACCTCATACTAAAAAACAGAAACAAAACCAGATAGCTTTATCTGATAAAGGAAATGCTCTTCAAGCGGTAAGCCAAATTTCATGCCTAACCATTTTTAGTTTTAGAAGTTTTGACTTATCAAAGTTTATCGTCTTCATCACGTGTAGTCGTTTGACGCTGTCTTACAAAATGTATTTTTTCCGTAAAGCAGCTGCGGAATTACGCATAGCTAAACTCTTCTAATTTATGAAATGTTTATTTAGTTACCACAGAGAACATCTGCACTGCAGGCCCCAATAATGCTCCTAACGGGACAAGAGGTATGTATTCATTCTCTTCATTTCAGCTGAAATTAAGGCACTGCTGTAGAGTTTTAAAAATATATGATATTTATTGACATTTATTCTTGGGAATAAACTGACTCACAGACAAAATAAACTTATATTTGAACAGATTTATAAATGTTCTTGCCTCATTTAAAGCTTTTGAGAACTCATGATCTTTGTATGTTATATATGAATACCAAATATTGAAATGCTTGTATATAATAATAATAATAATAATAATAATATTTATTTATAAAGCGCAAATACAAATCTGTTCTAAGCGCTAGTAAACAAACGACAAAGACAACGACAAAATAAAAT